AACATTGAAAAATCATAAAAGAAAATAGTCTACGAAAATTAAATTTTTGAGTTTGAGAGTTGGTTACGTGTGAGGAAGGTATTAGTACCTTACAACGTTTGTCCTAAGACGATTACCTTTAATTAATTAAAAAAATTATTTATAATTTATAAAATATTTATCTCACTAAAATGATTAAATATATTTTATTTATCTAATTTAACTAATGCATTAAAAAAAAGGTTAAAATTATTATTGTTATATAAAAAGGAAGATAATATATTTTTTTTTATTTTTTGGCTCGACAAGATTTATTTCTTGCTCCTACGTATCTCCATGTGTAATGAAGAATCAGAGTTACGTAATTCTTTGGTAGAAAATATTTGTGTGTTACTATTTTTTAATTAAATTTTATTTTTGTTAAATATATGATTCTTGAACTATCTCAGCTCATTCACCCTAAGAAAAAAAAATTGACTAAGGTGTACACCAAAGTCAATTCAATAAAATTTTAATTATAATTATTGTTACAGATATTATTGTTTTAAAATATTTTTTGGTTGGACATTTTGTTTTTGGAGAAAAAATTTAAAGATATCAAGTTGTCACAACTTGTAGTTTAATTCAAAGGTTAAAAAGATGTCACATCTAATTAACCATTCCTCCAATAAAATATTTTTATATAATAATTTCAAATATTTATGTTGAATATGTGGTAATATTTTGATATTTAATTATACATTTTTGAATAAAAAAACTTTAAGAAAAAAAGTTGTCACAACTTACATCCTTAAGTTTTAGGATTAAAAGAATGTCACATTCAAATAATCTCCCTTAGATATAATTAATACTAATATTGATAAGAGAATATGACAGTAATTATTATTATTACTATTATTATTATTATTATTATTATTATTATTATTGTTTAAATGGATTAAAAAATTATGTAAATATCTAACACATTTGTATAAAGAAATAACTTAATCAAATAAGATCAATTAAGCTAATTTTGTTAAAACAAGAAACAAATACCATCATCTAATATTAAGGAAATGCCACATAAAAATAACTTTTTTTAAGAAGATAGATATTAATAATATTGATATTGATAAAAAGTATTGTTATCATTATTATTATAGTAACTATTATTATTATTATTATTATTATTATTATTATTATTATTATTAA